ATGTTTTTTTATTTAATATTATCTATATGCTGCCTTTCTCCCTATAGGGAACTCAAGGCAGCTCACAATAATTTAAACTGTACAATAACAACAGTTTAAAAAACTATACGAACAATATTGGTTTCTTGAGTCCTTTTGTGGAGAAAGCCAGGGTAAAAATATTTTAAATGTCTGTCTGTCTGTCTGTCTGTCTGTCTGTTTGTTTGTTTGTTTGTTTGTTTGTTTAAACCTATACCCCAACCATTTAGTGGACAAGCCACTATGAGTGCCTTCCAGGAAATAACAGAAGTATACAATACATCATTTTTGTAAAAGTTGAGAGAATTGAGCGTTTAAAAGCAAAAATCCATTTGGCAAGACAAGGGCCGGCATAAACTCAGTACAAAATTAATATTACAAAGGGATGAAGTCCTGAGTAAAAAGCCAGGTTTTTAGTTGCTTACGGAAGCTCAGGAGGGTGGGAGCCACTTGCACCTCCACAGGAAGGGAGTTCAGGAGTGGGGTGGCCACTACTGAGAAGGCCCAGACTCTAGCTGACAACTTCCGAGCCTCTCTCAGAGTGGCCATCCACAGCATCAGGGATGGAAGACCTGAGGGAGAAGTGCTCAGATGAACAAGGTCCTAAACTGTAAAGGGCTTGAATTTGGTCCAAAAGCATACTAGAAACCAGTGGGGGCAGGCCAGGATGGGTGAAATATGGTCAAATTCAGATGCACCAGTGATCAACCTGGCTGCTGCATTTTGCACTTGCTGCAGCTTCTGAATGACAGCATTGCAATAGTTAGTTAGTTAGTTAGTTAGTTAGTTAGTTAGTTAGGTAGTTAGTTAGGTAGTTAGCTAGGTAGGTAGGTAGGTAGGTAGGTAGGTAGGTAGGTAGGTAGGTAGGTAGGTAGGTAGGTAGGTAGGTAGGTAGGTAGGTAGGTAGGTAGGTAGGTAGGTAGGTAGGTAGGTAGGTAGGTAGGTAGGTAGGTAGGTAGGTAGGTAGGTAGGTAGGTAGGTAGGTAGGTAGGTAGGTAGGTAGGTAGGTAGGTAGGTAGGTAGGTAGGTAGGTAGGTAGGTAGGTAGGTAGGTAGGTAGGTAGGTAGGTAGGTATTGCAAGGCAATTAAACATTAATCAAGATTAAAAACAAAGTTAAAAAAATTTAAATCCACATTCCATGAAAACATTTGCTAGAAACTCCACTTACAGTAGTACCTCGGTTTATCAAATTAATACATTCTCTGGAATGTTATGTATGTGGAAAATTCGTGAACTGAAATGCGGATTGTCATGGGAAAAGGGGTGGTGCTACAAACCTCTAGGCACAATGCATCCTGTGGAAACTTTCTTCGCAAACCGAAAAAAATTGAGAAAAAAATCTAAACCGAGGCATTGTTTTCAACAGATTTCCATTCGTAAACTGAAAATTACATAGACTGAGGCATTTGTAAACCGAGGTACTATTGTACTTCGTAAAAGCCTCACGAAAAACACCTTACTTGACAATAATTATTCAGATTGTATTTATTGTATTAATTTTAGGCAACATTGCCTATATTTGCTTGCTTTATTAGTAATTGGCTGAATGAATGATTTTTTTTTCAGGAGGGAAGTGGAGGTTTTGTTTCTATTTTGTCTAGTTAAAATCAGTTTGGCAGGCACAGAGCTGCATCCCCTTTACTCTTGCTTTGTACTGCTGCTTTCTCTTTTTCATGTCATTTAGTTCAGCTTATATTATTCTTTTTATAATCCTAAAAAAATGGTAGTTGCTTATACAGTGCTATTAGTATATTTTAGATTTGGTTCTGGATGAGTAATAGTTACATATGATACATAAGCTTGTGATTCCATTATGTAAACTGATGTTTGCCTGTTCTTTACCAGGCAACTGGGATAATGCTCTGACAATGATTGGTTAGAATGATATTCTTTGTTTCTGAATAAGAACTTTCTAATAATAGCAACCACATACTTCAAGTCAATTCCAACTCATGATAACTTTTTCTGGGTTTTGTAGTTACAGAGTACTCTGAAGTTGTTCACCATATCCTTTTTCTAGGGGTACCTCGGAACTTTGCAGCCTCCCAAGGACACACAAGCTGGCTCTTCTCCTGGGCGACACAATAGGAAATCAAATTCTTGGTCTCAGGCTCTGCAGCCCTGTTTACAACACACTGAGCTATCCAGCCAGCTAAGAACTTTGCAATATTTATTTTAAAATTCTTCATAAAAATGATGGAAGGAGTACGACTGGATATGGCCACTAACTGCTGGTTCTGCAGTTCGTGGCAATTCATCCTTTGGATGAACATGTGTTCATTGGTTCCCAGCCCTGCCTTTTCAGGTGGACGCCAGCTTAGAGGCAGCACCCTGGCTTCCCTGCCCTGCCTCCTCTGGATGTTGTCTTTGAGTGGGTGCCTGCTGGAAAAAGTTGGTCTGGGAACCCCTGAACAAAGGACAAACTGACACAACTGCAGAACTGACAGTTCCTGCCCATCTCTAATTGTGACACTTTAAAACATGGAATGTGGGAAAAAGTGAAGCTCACAAATTCACATATCCTCCTGGGAGACTGAGATTTTGGCCCATAAAAATCTGAGTTTCACTCTGTGATGTTCACATACATTTATGATGATCTGGTTCTTTACAGGCACCACATCTTAACAGTTTTTAACTTTTTTATTATAGTTGAAATGTTAAACTGATTTCATTGAGGGATGATGGGAATTCTGTTCTTGCTTGGTTCTATATAATTTTTGGTTCTTTTCACGTAAATCACCCCGAGTAATGATCTCACTAAGCTGGGTGGTATATAAGATACAGTGGTGCCTCGCATTACGAGCCCTCCGTTTGACAACAAAATTGCATCACGATGAAGATTTTGCGATCACAAAAGCGATTGCAAAACGATGTTCCCTATGGGGGAATTTCACTTTGCAATGATCGGTCCCCTGTTTCGCTAACCGATTATCGCAAAACGATGATTTTCGGCCAGCTGATCGGCGGTTTCAGAATGGCCGCCGTGTGAAAAACATGGCCGACCACTGTTTTCTGACATGGATTCCTCACTGCACGGGCAGCGAAAATGGCCACACTATGGAGAATCTTTGCTGGACTGTGAGTTCTAAGCCCCTATGAATGCATTAATTGGGTTTTAATGCGTTTCTATGGGCTTTTTTAAATCGCATGACAACGTTTTCGTTCGGCAGCGATTTTTTCGGAACAAATTAATGTCGTCATGCGAGGCAGCACTGTAGGTAGGTAGGTAGGTAGGTAGGTAGGTAGGTAGGTAGGTAGGTAGGTAGGTAGGTAGGTAGGTAGGTAGGTAGGTAGGTAGGTAGGTAGGTAGGTAGGTAGGTAGGTAGGTAGGTAGGTAGGTAGGTAGGTAGGTAGGTAGGTAGGTAGGTAGGTAGGTAGGTAGGTAGGTAGGTAGGTAGGTAGGTAGGTAGGTAGGTAGATAGATAGATAGATAGATAGATAGATAGATAGATAGATAGATAGATAGATAGATAGATAGATAGATAGATAGATAGATAGATAGATAGATAGATAGATAGTCCTTTACAAGCTATAAAGAGCTATACCTACTGGATTTGGCCAATACAGATGGTTGAAACTTGTGTTCAGTTCATTTTTATGTAATTTACAAACTTGTTCATACACAAAATGAGCTTGAGATTTATATTTAAACCTGAATGTTGGAGAAACAGACTCACAGATTTCTCCATCCCTATGACTGGTAGCTGGGATCAATATCTGTCTTCTGGCTTTCAAAACACTGTTGGCTGTTTGGCTCTATAAGACCAGGAGAGAGGGTGGGTTGTATGTTAATGTACCACCACTCTGTGTAGTGCTTTCCTAATCTTGGAAGCACTGCACATTGTAATATCACAATGGAAGTACTAAAACAAGAGTCATTTGCAGGTATTACCAATGGTGTTTGGTGTGGGGAAAAAGGAAACATGTTGAAGATGGGAGTGGATTGTAGGCAGAAGTAGTGAGCAAAGCAATGGTCAGGTCACAGCTGGCCAATGATAGTTTGTAAGGCTGCTGTACTTATTTTCTGGGTGTGATGAATGACTTGGAAAGGCATAGCTTAGTCTATAACTATATAGAATGATAATGTTCAGAGGTCAAGCTAGAATAACACTCCCCTTAAAGAGAGTCATGAAAAACAGATGTAATAGTATCAGTTTCAAGTTTCCAGAGGGATGCCTGTATTAGTTCGCAGGAGCAAAAACAACAGGGATTCTTGTGGTGCCCTAGTCTTAAGGTGCTACACTTTCAAAATGGTCTTAGAGGTCAATAAAATTTATTTCCCAAATGTCATGCTGCTTTGCATATCTCTGATAGATTTCTAAGGGCTTAACTAACTGTTGTACTTGTGAGTCTCTGACTTCTTTCATGTTTTTAAAAAAATGCTTGATGTATTTGATGAATATGGGCACTGCCACTTCTTAACTTTCTAAATGAGGCAGCAAGCAATTTTCAAATTATTAATTTCTAACATGAAGTATCTTGAGGATTTCTCATGTTTGCAGCATTTCCTTCCATTAGATAAAATGACAGGTTTGCAGTGAATGAACTGTAACATCCAAAGCCTGCCAAACATTTTTCTTCATAAGTCTCCTGTGCTGTTTAAATGTCTGGACTAAATTTACCAAACTTGGCAGATTCCTGAAGATGAACAGCGTTTGCCAAGTGTTTCCAGACTCAAACAGAAAGAGTGAGAGCACTTAGTTCTTAAAATATTTTCAGGAGGCACCTGGCTAGAATTGTAGTTTTATAATGGTGTCTTACTATGCACCTGCCTGTTTGGCACTTCAGGTTGTTCATAAATAGCAGATAGAATCTGAACATAATTGCTCCTAAATAAATCACCATCCCTAGAAAACGAGGTTTGTTTCTACAAAACATTCCCCGTGCTTTGACATCTGAGGAAGAGTCTCAGCATTGCAACCAGGCTGGTTATAATACATTTTTTTAAAGACTTGGCCTTTTTTTTAATTTTTTGAACCAGGGATTGCTATCAGAGATTCTGCGTAAAGAAGAAGACCCTAGAACAGCTTCCCAGTCCCTTCTGGTAAATCTGAGGGCAATGCAGAATTTCCTCAACCTACCTGAGACAGAGCGAGATCGTATATATCAGGATGAGAGAGAAAGGAGTATGAACCCCAATGTGAGCATGGTGTCTTCAGCTGCCAGCAGTCCAAGTTCCTCCAGAACCCCCCAGGTAAGGCTGAACCCGATTAATTGCTTTCAAAATTATCCCATTATCCAGAAAATCTGTAGCCAGGAATCATATGAGGTTACAGTTAGGATTTTCCTAGAGTGTCCATGCTGGCTGGAGAATTCTGGGGATTAGAATCCAAAATGTAACTTTTCTCATCTCAGAAATTTCCAGTGGGATAACTATATCATTCTGCTAGCAAAAACCCAACAGAGTCTTGTGGTAGCTTAAAGACTAGTCCATGAAAGCTTATGCCAAATAATACTTGCTAGTTTTTATGTGCCACAAACACCTTATGTTGCTTTTCCCCGCCTGGCATTCCATGCACCCAAATGCATCTTGGAAGCTTTTGTTTGTTTGTTTAATTATTAGAATTTGGAGTTGCTGTTCCTAAGGGTGTATTTTCTTCCAGGAGCAATTCCTGCGTAAAACTAGTACATTGTTATTTGACTAATGCTGCAAATATAAAGAATCAACATTCAATTAAATACATGAAAGAATTCAAATACAGGACAAGGTGTGCATATTTAGTATGACTCCAAGTTCTCAAGGGACCAATGTTTTCATCGAACTCCATGGGACAAAGGAACACCAGTGTCTTTACTATTGGAAATTGTTTCAGCACTGACAGTACCCTCTGAGCCCCTATGTGTGCTCCATCAGTGCCAATTAATTTTGTTCTTCATGTCACACTAATAAGGATTTGCTTCAGTTCCTTATCTCCTGTCGGAAAGCCAGTCTCTTAGCAGGGACCAGGATAATTAATTAAAGCTTCTCCGGAATCTGTTAGGGTGACTGCGATCAACTAACAGTAAAGCAAGGACAAAATTACAGTACAGTAGATCCTGGTCAGAGCCTCCAAGTTAACCAACCTGCTTCTTCAGTGGATTCAGAGATTGATCTGAGCCAGGTTATTATGAGTTGTTCCTGGATGGGCACACATTGAAGGCTGTTTTTTTTTTCTAGTGGGCTAGCAGTACATTCTTAGTGTTGTATGGGCCCATTCAAGAGAAGGCTCTTTCCTACCCTGATCTTGAGTGCATAGCTCAATGGTAGAACATATGCTTTGTATGCAGAAGGTTCTAGGTTTGATTTCCATTGTCTCTAGGTAAGGAAGCACTAGACACTGACTTGCTATCTGACACTCTAGTAAGCTGTTGAAAGTGTCAGTATAGCATAACTTTCTTTGGTAGTGGCATGTGTTCTGTGTTCGCACTATTGATGTGATAGTCTTGTGCTTCTGCTGAAGAGGGGCAGGCCTGGAGCATCTGGCACACTCAGACAAAAGTTGAGAGCCTTGGGTCCCAGCTTCCTTCCTTCCTTTTAGTTTTTGCCCAGTGTTGTACAGAGGCACACATATATTAAGGTGGAGTCTAGAGGCAGTGGTTACAGCTGCCTCACCCAGCTGTTCTATTCTTACTGTTAATGCAAGGGAGTGCCAGGGAGTGGGAATTGCATGTTTTCATGCAACAGACTGTGTTCCTTCTTCACCTGGTAACCTTGGGTAGGGGAGACATCAAGGAGTAATTAGAGAGTTGGGAAGAAATCTTTTCTAAGGACTTGTCAAATATGACACAATCGCTGTAAAGGGGGAGAATAGGTCTCAAAAGATAAACAGTGTACCTGTGGATTCTGAAAGGCTTGACTAGGTTTATGGGTGGGAACCATTTCAAAACATTTGAAAGCAATTTTGAGTGCATAATATCTGATAGTATTTTTCATATGCCTCTTGCAGTTGTTCATAGTTAATTGAGTTTTCCCTTTTTTTTTTCTCATTACAATACAAACAAAGTATATTTCCCAAACTGTTCTTTCCAATCTTTCTCTCCAGGTTTCCCTACCATCTACTTTGTATAGTTGCATACCTAGCAAGTAAAGTTTTCAGAGTTGTGAACAAGCTGGTTTAGCAAAAACTAAATAGGTGAAGAACAATATAGAACAAACTATTTACTTAGTTTAACAGATCTGATGTTTTCTTTATTGCACATGCAACTAATAAATATTACATATGTAAGAACAAAGCAAGACAAAGTGATTTAAATCAGAGTATGAAATATTCTGAATCCTGCAATGGAGGACTGGAGTGACTGTCATTAGCCTATAGAAAGAATTGGATGACAATGACTAACCTCCCTGACAGCTGCAAGGGATTAGGGGACTGTTGGTTTTCCAAGAGGCACCCTGTATAGAGTCTCTCTGTAGAGAGACTACCAGTGCTCTAATTCCTTGCACATCTCAAGGAGCTTAGCCATTCCCAGCTATGTCCTATTTTAGGCTAATGGTGGTCACTCCAGAGGGAGGTGCTGAGACAAAACAGTGAGTATTGACACTTCTCTGAAAATATGGATTTTTTTGGCTACAAGTGGGGCAATTCCTGGTGAATTCTAGCAGCTGTAGTCAGAAAAAATACTAAAATTTCATGCTTAGCTATAAATTGGATGCAGCTTGATGGTAGATAATAGAATAAGCACATACTGGCATCTAATTTTCTTGAGTAATGTTACCTATACATTGATTGTGTCCTTCATCTTGCAAACCTTGTGCTCCCATCTGCAAAAACATTAAAATTTTTAAAGATTTTTTTTGATTGAGAAAGCCATGTGTATGTATCAGAGATGTACTATAAGAAAAAAATTGATGGAGGTTCTTTCACCTCTGGAATTAAAAAGATGAATGGCATTTTGCTGCTCTTTTCCTCCTTCCAGAGGCCTGGAGAGATAGGTAAATCAAGTGTGGGATATCTGAAACCAGATTCCAAGCACTATTCAAAGTAAAGCCAATCCAACAGTAACTGAAAACAAATGGAACATCCAAGAAATGGAGTCAAGCTGGTCCAGAATATCAGACACAGTCAAGGAGTCAGGAATATGGGTCAGAATACATAGAAGGCAAGATGAAAAGTTAGAAAAGTCTCCAGCACATGTCCCAGTCATAGCCTATGTTTTGTATGACTAAGGTGCACGAACCATACCCAAAACTTAGTTGTAGGATGTATCCACATCAGAAGGAACACAGCTGCCTGATTTCACTTGTTTTGCCTCACTGAGAGGAAGAGTTCTCCCTTAAGGAAACTAGCTATTCTTGAGGATGCTTCTTTTCCTGTGGAGTTTCTCTCTGCAGTGAGTATTTCACCCAGGGGCTTCTCCTGGGCTTATCTATCATGTGGAATTCTTGGTGACTGGGAGGTGCTTCAGCATCCTCCTTTCACTCAGACACAGTGCTGCCGGCTTCCAGACATTCAGCTTCCTGGACACTAATTCCCAGGGTCTTCCAGGATCCAGTAGTTCCCTGGTCAGGCTCATAGGATTTTAGCTCGTCCTTACTTAGAGGACTTGCTCAGCGAGACCATGACATGTAGGGCCAGAGGTGATTAATAATACAGTGAAGTACGTGTATCATATCTCTTCATATAGACCTCATTTGAACCTAATTACAGTGTCCTTAGATATTTCCATTTTATTAATAGCATCAGTTTCACAATATCAGAAAGATTAAAGTTAATAATTAGTCTAGAATATAGAAACAGCATAAAGCTTTACTTAACACATCAGAACAAGATGAAATCCCCCAGCAAAATTAAAATATATCTGAAAAATATATGTCTACAATTGCCAGTCAACTCACCTTTTGACAACTGGCACCCAAATCATCTCAGCAGATATCCCTAACATTTGTTTAGGTTCATGTGAGATTAAGCAACTGATTTTACCCAGGGTAGGCAAAAGTGCTTTCTTCTGCACCACCTATGTAGATAGAGGGGGACATTTTATTTTGCTAAACCATGATTTGCCAACATTAGTTGTTACATGGTAACTAACAGAGAGCAAAAATAATTTAAAACATCAAATGTTTCAGAATGTACATGTGATTTCTGCTGAAGGTTTGCCACTGAGAATGAATATTTTGATACTAGAATATAGTATCAAAAGAAATAGTCATGCTTGGTATGCAGAGAAAACGTATTGAAAAAGAAAGACTTACATTGTGATAGCATAATTAATCTTATATACAAAATTGTGTTTCCATAGATACCAGCCTGTGATATGATTTTATTCTGCTGTGGATAATCTGAGAAAGTATGAAGAAATATAATAGCCAAATATTTGCTATTTTTCCCCTTAGTTTTTAGGTTTACATTGACTTATTACTAATTAGTAATACAGCTCTCAGTATTAGGTGGCCATAGCTGATCAAGCCTATTTTAAGCCTTTTTGTAGAAGAAAATTGTGAGGAATACAGAAAGATTTAAAATTTGGTTTCTTGTTTCTTTGCTCTTTGCTAAAAGATACGAAATAATGAAGAGACTACATTATTATCCCTATATCAGAAGTTCTAAAGATAGCATCCAGAAAATCCAGATAATAAACAATGTAAAAGAATTTTTTTGAAAATTTAGGACAGTTATATTTATTTATTTTTTTAATTCAATTCAGGTCTCTGGGCGGCTTACAATAATTAAAATTCAATACAGCAAAAGATAAAATAATTAAAATACAATTAAAATACAATTAAAATTGCCATCAGACCCACAGCTAATATTATTTCAGTTAAAAGCCTTCTGGAACAGGAAGGTTTTGACCTGGCGCCGAAATGTCATCAGTGTCGGCGCCAGACGAATCTCAGTCGGGAGGGCATTCCATAGTCTGGGGGCAGCTGCCGAAAAGGCCCTTTGTCTACAAGCCGTCCCTCTTACCTCCTTAAGGGACGGCTCTTTCAAAAGGGCCCCCTGGCTAGATCTTAACTGCCGGGTAGGTTCATATGGAAGGAGGCGGTCCTTCAGGTATCCAGGGCCCAAGCCGTTTATTGAAATATTTAATACAAATCCCACTATGTTATTACTAGCCGGTTGTTTTTAATAAAACGTATTTATTTACTTCTCATATTTTTATTACATTTTTGTTTAAAGAAAGGACAACTAATTCCTATTATTGAACACACAGATATGTAAGCAATTATAATAATACAGAGCTGCAAACTTTAAAACATCCTTGTCATCTCACTCATCAAAACAGATGTTCTAGGGGGAAAAGAGTAGAAACCTCAGCAAGCGCTTCTAAAAGTGCCATCTTTGGTAATAAAACTTTACATTTTTTAAATTAACTGCCGAAATGCAGAGATGGAACCAGATATCTCCTTCATGAGTTCAGTATTGCTGTTGTTATGTGCCATCAAAACACTTATTATCCACTAGGATTTTCAAGGGATGGGAAATGTTTGAGGGATGGTCACTATTGCCACCCCAAATGAGTTGCCAGATGGATTTGGGCCCCAGTCTCCTGTGTCCTAACTTGAAAATATTGTGTACAGTATTGTCCACCTAGTATACCTGTGATAGAGAAATGTTCTATAACAGTATCTCTGAAGCTTGACTTCAGCCAGATTCATATGAAAAGAAGTGGTTCTAGAACAAGGGTGAGCAAAAATGAACCACCAGTTGTTAGATTGTAGCTCTTCAGTACTGGCTTTGTCGGCTAGGGCTGATGGAAGTTTCAGAGCAGTGTCTACAGGCCATACTTTGTTCACCACGGTCCTGTTTATTTTTATTTATTTAAAATATTTTTACCCTTCCTTTCTCATTAAAATGTATCCAAAGCGGCTTACATAATTAAAAACCAGTATTTAAAACCAGCAACGCTGAGTATATAAATACAAAAGTGATCAAACAAATATCATACTAAAACATAAGGAACAATAAAACACATTCAAATCACTTGTTGTTCTAAACCAACCTTTTGTAGACCTTTGTGTAGGAGCAGATGGGGTTTTTAAAGTTTCTCAAATACAATAAAACACAATATATCCTATTAAAGACAGTTTTGTGAAATTTATTTTTCTTTTGGATGAATCATGCAACACTATTAAATTAACTTTATTAGTAGTATTCAGCAGGTCCTACAAATTTTGCTTTTAAAAAGTACCAGCAAAGGGGGGGGGGATGACATTCTTGTCTATGCTAGATGCAAGTTTTACTTTAATATGTTCAGTTTCCTAATATCCTTCCTATATTTTAGTTGTCTTTGTTGTCATTGTGTGCGTGTGTGTATGTGTGTGTGCATATGCACATGAACCCCCACACTAAAGGCTGCTGTTTGATATAAAATTTGTGCAATATAGACAATTAAGCATATACTGTAGTTTAATTTATTGTTTCAATATTGTGTTTGAGTTACACTGGTGAAATTGTCAGCCACACTAAATAGGAATGGGGAAGGTTTCTGGTTTGGGCATAAGAGCCTCCCACTGTCTCCATTCTTTATCTTCTCCTAGATCTGTCTCTGATTGTTAGGTATGTGGGAAAGCCAGCATTCTCTGTTTAGTGTCCTTCAGTTGTCATAGACATCATTGGAAATCATTTAGTTAAAAGGAGTGCAGTGGAATACAAGGAATTGCAATATGAGTTTAGGAGACCAAGGGCAGCACATCAAGTACATTATCAAGCCTGGAGTTATTAATTTTTTCTCATTCCCACTGATTTCCTAGGTGAAATTAGGTGACTGTCTGGCCAGCATAATGATGGGAAAGCATACATACTCAAATGACATACGTATCATTTTAATAAAGGATGAGAGAGACTTGAGGGAGTGCATTAAATTGAGTAATAATTTATTATTTAGAGACCTCTATGCATTTACTCATTTTTTCTGGAAGAATTGGCTCTTCCACCAAGGTACACTGTTTTTAAGGGAAGGAAAAACAAAATCTAGATATGTATATGACAAGTATTTGGAAGCCAGCTGAATTGAACAACTAATTGGAGTTTAATGCTTCTGCTATGTAATCTTTCTGCTTCCCCGTACATACTTTTTCTGTATGTATCAAAGAGAGGGACAGAGAAGTGTGCTGTCTGTGTACTTGTGTGTGTGAGAAAGGGAGCGAGAGCAAGAGCAAGAGAGAGAGCAATGTATGTCCTATAGGAATGCACTGCAATTATTTCAAATCACAATTAACCTGATTAGAATAATGGACAGGAAGTGTCCCTCAGTAGCTAATGCAGTTTGGCATCAGCTGACTGAAATCCTTTGATAATTTCTGCACAGATGGCTGGGCTGAAAGCAGCACTTTTTTAATTATTATTTTCATGGTCTCTCGGTAGGCCAAAACCTCGACACCAACAACAGACCTCCCCATTAAGGTGGACGGAGCCAACATCAACATCACAGCTGCCATTTATGACGAGATCCAACAGGAGATGAAAAGGGCCAAAGTTTCTCAGGCTCTCTTCGCCAAAGTAGCTGCCAACAAAAGTCAGGTGAGCATGGAGTTCTTTTTTTCTTTTTCTTTTTTGAAGAGCAGAGAAAGCTTTGAGTTTGAAATGATCAAGTACTTATTTATCTGCAGTAGTAACAACAATTTAACTGCAGTAGTAACAAGAATCTGTTGCACTTTGTCCTTTAAATTGATAGCTCAGAAACAACACATTTCGATATAAGAAAAATTAAAAAAAATGAACAGGTCATAAAACACACCTGTTTCCACCCCACCTTGTACATACAGAAAGAACCCTTGAGATAATTATGTCCTGCACATTTGGAATCAGACCATTATCTGTGGGAAACCAGCATGATTTTGCAGATTGATTGACAATGATATCTGTTTGTTAGCTTCTATGTGTATTCATAGTTAAAAGATAAAATGAAAACCTAATAAAGTGCTGAAAGTGAAGTTAATTCACTCATTTGTAGAAATATTGAAGTCTTATTAATAACTCACAAGGATTTCTATATGAAGATAAGCTAAACCTTTCTCATCCTAATTAATTTGTTATATCTTCTACTACGCCACTTGTTTTTGGAGAAGCTTGAGGGTTAATGGTCTCTCACAAACCAAAAAGCAAAAGCTCAGACACAATATGAAATACATAAAAGCAAAATGCCATGGAGCCCCCTTACACTGTTAAATGAATAAAAATCTCTTGTACCACATGGCAAAATATAATGAGAGCTGGAGCTGTTAAACGAATAAAGCTGTTAAAAGCATAATGCCACTTGGCACAACTACTGTGCATTTAACGGTTTTCCACTGTGTAATAAATGACATATGTGGTAAAAGTGCAGTAAATATAAAAACTGCACAATTGATTTTGCAAACGTGCCTTTCTGTACAAATATCAAAGATATTTGTGTAGTGAAGACTGGCTATTCTTAATCAAGATACTGTATTTTATTACAAACTGAATTAGAAATTTCATGTCATTTTTACACAGAAGAGTCGTGAACTAGAATGAATGTGAGCCACCCAAAGTAATTTGAATGGCTCACCAATGTCAATATGTGCCAACCTCAATGCTGAAATTCAGAAAAGCTGGTCACCGTCCATTCTCCTGAATTAGGATGCACTAATTGTTCTTGCCTTGAAAAAGATAAATGTTGCCACATAGAGAAGCATCAGAGAGGATGAAAGAAATGAGCAGAACAGGGTTTTAAATGTGTGAAGACTGAATATGCTCTGGCTATGCCGAGTAATACTTCATACATAAATATCTCTGAGCCTTAGTTCTTTTTTGCTTTATAGTTATAGCATTCAGTTTTGTCTCCTCCATTATGAAGCTTGAACATTATCTGTTTTTGAGATACTGATAAATCATATGACAAATATTGATTAGAAATATGACATTTATTCAGCACCAATGACCACTTCACAGCTGATGTAGCTCAGTGGGTTGAAGTGTCTGGCTGCTGAGCCAGGGGTTGGGAATTTACATCCCCGCCATGCCTCTTGTGTGAGGGGACAACCAAGATCACCCACAGCATGTACAATTTGTTGGGGTTACATGCCCTACTACCCATGTGGCCTGAGCTGAGCTGCATGGTCCTGGAGCATCAGCATAAGGTGAAGATGGTGAATCATTTCTGAGTACTTTATATCTAGAAAATCCTTGGAGAATTGACTTGATGGCATATAATTAATTAAAAATCCTATTTAAAAAACAACAGTATGAGGTGTTTATTTTCATAAATGATTTCGAACTAACATCATTGGGAATGATACATTTATTCTACAGCATGAGTTCTGGGGAGGAGGGCAGAATTTGAGAACTAGTGGTAGTTTTTCTTATTATATTTCCATCTTTTAATATGAAAAAAATCCTAGAAAAATCCTTAAGGAACCATATTTAAGGAGGAAAAGTAATAAACTTCGTAAAATTTATAACATCATAATATGTAATCATACCCAAAAAGATAAGTTTCCATTGAGAGTCAACCCCAAAATACACACCGAAGAAGAGTATTGTTGGGTCAGATCAATATTTATTTAACATTCTGTTTCTAACTATGAATGGCCAGATATTCCTGAGAAGCACACACACAGAATAGGAATGACCTCTTGTTAACTATACATTAACTATATAACACACCACTCTATCCATTCTACCCAAACGTGTTCTCAGTCAAAGCAATTTCACACAGAAACAGATTAAATAAAAACATTGTTTCTATTTTCGTTCCATTTGATTGATTATATAAAAATGTGGCTTGTTGTGGTTATTCAATCCCTCCATCCAAGACCATCTGATTCTAAAGGCCACATGTATTCTGATCAAAATTGGTAAGTGATTATCTCACCTAGTCGGCAAAGTGAACAGGCACCATACAATGAGCAGCAAAAGCAGAGATAGCCAGATGGTACAAGGTGAGATGTCAATGTAGTATTTTTCTGCACCACAACACATTTGTTTTGTTTTTTCCAGGACCTGATAGATTTCCAAGTTAGGGTTATAGCAGGTCAGCAAGAAATACTATCCTTATCACAATATATCACATTCCCCCATAATAAGATCACCTAGAATAAAACATGTTTTTGAGGTGTGTGTGTATGTATACAAATATAAAGGAAAGTAGAAAGGTAGCAAAATATACAGATTATGTTAATTAATCATAAACAGTGTCAGTTCAAAAAACAGTACATTGAACCCTACAGTATAAAGTAGCAAATCATGAAAGTGAATTAACAGTTTACTACCAGTAGGTGTTCTTTTGGAATTCTTTCTGCCATGATTTATAATTACACTCACCCAATCTATATCTTCTGAATACAGTTATTCTTTGGAGCTTCTTTCTGCTCTCTGTGAGGTTTTCACATTAATAAGTTTTTTGTTGCCTGTGCAGGACATTTTGGAACTTTCTAGGGCAGAGCATTTGTGGGATGGCAAACTTCATCCATAACAGCACTTGTTCCCTCCAATTTGCTTCAGTTCCTTTTGGTTTGCCACCAAGGTGGCCTTGTTCTAGCATGTCACTTTACTTGGCTATACCTCTTGCTTTGAGTATCTATCAATGAAGTTTTACATCTGCAGGCAGTATCTTTTTTGAACAAAGGGTTTGGGACCACAGACAACTGGAGCTCTTACCCTAAGAACAGAGAAGAGGTAAACAGTGATAATAATCATTACTAGCACCTTTCTAGCACAATTTTAAAAAGATACTAGCTGAAGATCTAACTTCCTGTTGACACATAGGACACTCTGCATGCTTATTTTTCTTTGAACAATTTCCAAAATTATAGGCAATGTCTAGCATTTGCTCTGCAGTGCAGATAAAAAACAACTTTTTGTGACAAAGGGCGCTGTTTGAAAAAATCACCAAACAGCAACCATGTAGATAGTAGTGATTGATAAATATTCTCTATCCTGTTCTACACTTCTGATAGGCACTCAAGCATTTGATCTTTGAGTTTCATCTTTGGTTTCATGGTCTTCTACCTCAGGTATGATGGTACTAGCTTTCTTCGTTCCATCTATGACTGCTCTGACAAACCAAGAACAAGATTAAATTTTTTCTCCACTATTATGTTATTCAAAGAGCTAAAAAGAAAAGGAAGAGCAAAACAAATTATAGCTCATCATTATGATAGCCATCTCTCTGAATGTCACATTGCCACTGATCCACTTTAGATCAGAGATTATTTGGATTGAAAGATCCATGCATATTAGTCAACATCAAGATCTAATGATGTCATCCTGCTGAATTCTCCCGTGCCCTTTATACAAAAATTCAACCCTTACTATACCAAACAGCCAGCAGTGCAACACCACCTGTGTTTGGAAGGTTAGATAGCTGAATGGTCACGTCAGAGTCAACCTACTGTCTCACACCAGTATTATCAACAAGAAGAAAACTCAACTTTCTCTCATTGATAGTGATTGAGATTGTGGGAATATTAACTATCACCACATTCATCATTCTTAATCACATGATTCTACCTGGGAAACAGATTACTGTTCTTCTCACATGAATCACCATTCTTGTTGTCTGTCATATACAATGATGGCAATGATTGCTGCTGATCAGAGAGGGGTGGTCTTATTCCCATTACACATTGAGGCTGTGGGCTATTGCTATAGAACATGAAGCAGACACAGATAAAGCAGGTAGAACAATGGACATTGTAGTTAGTCCTTGTCTTCAGTATCACATTATTGTCAATTTCTGCCTCTGCAATAGTTTATCTGACCATTA